CAAATGATTAAAATTCATAATTTCTTAAAAGTATATCAAACTGCGTATTTTACCTCCTTAAAAGTAAATACTCAATAAATTTTATCAACATTATAATTTAAATTATTACTCCTTCATGAGAAACATAAAATTATTTTTAAAGAGTAAAATAACAAATATATGATAATTTAGTGAGACATAGAACTAAGACATGAAGATCTATCAAGTAAAGATATAAAATTTGGTTATCTATTTCAGAAGAGATATTCAAATGATATTCAATTAGTTGAGTTACTCACATTTTTCATATTCCTATAGATAAAAAAGAGCTTTAATCATTCATTTGTCGAAGAATTTTGAGAGTCTACAATGCTAATTAGTGAATTCAATACATGATTTGCATAGGAATTATGGAGGCAAGTCCCGAGCGTTAAGCGTTAGACATGTTTAGAGCGCATAACCGGGCGCTTGGGGGCGTAAGTCTCACAAAACTAAACCCTACACATGAGTCTCAAGGCGTTTTGATAGTGCCCTGCCCCGGGACGAATCCCAGAAAAACTTTTTAAAACACTGTGTACAATATGTCGCTTCATTCTACTTTGAATTAATTTGATTTAGTTTTATTTTGAATTAATTCGGTTCGCTTTACAAAATATTTTATGCATAAATAAATACGCGATGACCAAATTAAAAATGTTTTGTCCTTTATTGAAATCAAGAAAAAAAATATTAGATGGATAAAAAATAAAATGATTAAAATCATATTCACATAAGTAGTTTAAAATCTAGAAAAAGAAAATAGTAAGAAAGATATAATTTAACTAAATAATAAAAATGAGGTTGTACAAAGAGAAAAAAAACAAAGATGAAAAAAATCAGAGAAACCAAGAAAAAGAGAAGAAAAGAACAAAAAATGAAAAAAGTGACCGGACCTAGTGGAAGAGCGAACTGGATTGCCGCTAGTAGGTTTCGATATTGAGCGTCGCCTGTGCAAAAGTTGCTCACTAACCATGGCACCTACTTCCATTTTGTGCTTATGGGTGCCACTCATTTATAATATACACAATATTCGTGAAATACCAATAAATACGTAAAATTTACCCGAGCGTATGGGTGGCGTACCATCCTCTCTGATCTACATAGATCTGTCCCTGGACACACCCACCTCATTTATGTCTTATGGAAATTAACAAAAGTAGTATAAGAGAAGGATGGGATATTAGGATCCGCCTGGGGTTAGAGTAACCCAAAATGGTTAATGAATTGTTTGCGCCAGTTGACATTTCCGAAGGATTGTACAAATGCTAATAGACATTTCAACTGTCTATAGATGGAAAGTGACTGCATGTTGTACTGTTTGAACTGTACATGCAAACAGTGCAGCACAGTACAACAGTCACTCCCCATTGACCAACCAAGTGATTACATCATTCAAATGATCTCATCTAAGTTGTATTAAAAAAGAGCATTACAACAAAACATCACTTGAACATTTGAGAATTCATTCAAGCACTCCAACCGTTCATCTGTCAAGCATTCAATTCTCAAGTGCATCAAGAACAAAGTACAACACTACTCCGGACCAGTTCCTACAGCAAGTCTCTTGTATGTCCTTAGTTGAGTTGTAACTTTGTAATTGTTCTTCATTATAATTCCTACTTTGGTTATCTAGAAGCTTTATTTAGGAACCCCCTGTAAACCATAAACCATCAGTGTTGTGTCGTGACTAGAGTTAGTCATAAGTTGAAGTTTTTGTAATAGGTGTATTGCAAAGTGGCTTGTAATAGGTGTATTACAAGTTAGGGAGGGATTAAGAGTTTAATTCCTAGATTGCATAGGTTGTAATCTAAAGATTGCTGATGGTGAAATTGAAATACTACCAGTATAGGTCGTGATTTTTTATCCCCTTGGGCAGAGATTTTTCCACGTAAAAGTTCCCTGTTCCATTTACTTACTTTTGCATTAGTGTTATCTGTAGAAACCTATATAGGACCTGGTCTCTATATAGTTTGGTGGACTCATATATTCTATCAATACTACAATTTGCTAAGAGTTAAGCTGACATTTCAGAGTGATTGATGAACTAAAAACAAGCCTACACTTAAACAGAAAATATCCCTATATAATTTTGCGTTAAATAATATGTTTGAGGAAACAAAAACGAAGAAATTCAAGAACTACTCATTACTGATATTATCATTTCCAACAAAGTCTAATTTAATTTAAACAATATGACATAAACATTAATCGTCCTACTTGGTACTCGCCCTTCTCGATTTCAGACGGCTGATGTTGTAGCACCTAATCTTCAACATATTGGAGTATTAAGAGTGAAAGAGAGATGAACTATACTTAATAGTCGTAACCAATAGTTGTGCGGTCACTCTAAACTCTTACAAATTCGATTGCCTTGAGGAACCAACATCATCCTCCCCTATTGAACATTCATTCAAGAGCTTAGATCCAATCTTGGTTCTCCTCTTCCAAATCTCACCAGATTTTGTTGCCCAATAGTCGAAAAACTCATTTTCCTTATACATACCCGTCTTTCATGAATGAGAAGCATATAGGACTCAAACTTGATTTATAGGACTCAATTTTGGATGATTATCTATATTTGTTGAATCCCTTTTCTTCTCAGTTCGTGGATATACTACTAAAAGCTTTTCCGGTTGTTTTCATCAGCTTCCTCTTTTGGGGAGTTGTTCTTATCAAATTTGTTGTCGGTCGCCGGAAAATGTTGGGTTGCCTCAAAAAATCAAGTAGCCGATGAACTGGTAAAGGTACAGATGAAGAGAAGCTACTAAGGGCATCTCCAACTTTACCCCATTTTTGGTCCCCAAAATGGGAATTTCCCCATTTTGGGACAACTTATTCCAACCATTCCTCCATTTTTTCCCCCAAACTTTTTTTATATTCTTCTAATTCTTCTATATTATATTATTATCTTTCATTTCAATTTCATTTTTTAATTTTCATTAAACAAATTCCATCTTTTATTTTTATTAATTTGTAATTTCCATAATTAAAACAATTCCATAAAATTTTAAATAATATAATTTGTAAGCAATTATTATAGATTAACTAATAATTCAAATAAAAGTGAAATCATTGCAATACAAGATTAATTAAATACATATTACATAACGATAAAATTCATTCGAAATACTAGATAAATATTCAACTTCAACCTCTAATATTCTCCCATAAATGATCTATTAATGCATTACGAAGTGGAAAATGAGCATCTTTGTCCTTAATTCTTCTATGTCGAAATAAAAATTCTTGAAATCGTTGATTTTCATCTACTGCCATTTCTACATAAAAATAATAAATACACGAAAATTAATTTATCAAAATTATACACCAAAGTTAAGATATAATATTATAAACATAATTAGGTATATATAAAGAGATAAATTAGAAGATTAAATAATAAAAAGTGATGAATAATAATGGGGGAGATGAATAGTGTACCCCATATTTGAGGGAACACTATTCATCCCTCATTTTGGGGACAAAAATGGGGGAGGGTTGAAGCTAAATTTCCCCAAATATTTCTCCCATTATGGGAGATAGGGGCAAGGTTGGAGATGACCTAAGACCTTTCAGAAGTGTAATTAGTTTACTTTGTTTAAGGGAAAGACACGTGCAAGCTTATTTGGTCAAAACAATCGTGATAAGCTTTGCACATGTATCTATATTTAAATTAACTTATTGGTGCAGGTTTATTTTTAAAGAATTTGTTATGTAAGTTATGTTGATAATGTTTATTAATTGACAGAAACTAATATTAAAAAGGGCAAATCTATCAAATTATATTTTATTTATTTATTTATTTATTTATTTATTTATTTTAAGTAGGTTTAAAGAATGGTTATAAGAAAATCAAAATAAGGGAGGTATGCATAATATCGTAAAACACAAGAGAGGTCAGTGTTATAATGCGAAATCTGGAGCGAGGTGTGACATTGTTGTTTAATCTTTAATTCTATGTTACTCCTTCCGTTCCAGTTTATGTGAACCTATTTCCTTTTTGGTTCGTTCCAAAGAGAATGACCCCTTTCTAAATTTGGAAACAATTTAGGTTAAACTTACAATTTTACCCTTAATGAGAAGTTTTTATAATCACACAAATATTCGGGCCCCTTTTTAACTTGTTTAGGACTACAAATTTTAAAAGTCTTTATCTTTTTTTAAATTTCATGCCCAGTCAAACAGATTTACGTAAATTGGAACGGAGGGAGTACTATTTTGGAAAACTTACACAAATGCCCCAAACAAATCTCAACTTACCAACCTCTAGCCATTAGTCATAGACTTACCAAAACTAGCCAACAAAAATTGAAAAACCAAATAATAGGGTTCTTTCTATCAAAGAATCATATGCAAAAATCATCTTTTATATTTTTAAGCGTGATTAACAACATTACATACAAGACGGAAAGGAAATTTCATGGACGAGGTAGCAAGGTGATGAAATACAAAAATCTATACAATATTCCAAAAATCAAAACAAAAAAAGGAACTTTTTCAATGGGTATAGTTGAAATTCATTGAAAATATATAGATAAGTCAATATACAAAATTTGAGGAAGATTGGAGGTGATTTGGACTGAGTTTGTATCAAAATTCGTAATTAAATCGAGTTCAAAAAAGTCTTCTGCGACACATGTATCAAACATGTATCACGCACGTATCTCACACACATGTATACATGGAGATACATGTGATACACAATTGATACAAATATGATACATATGTGATACACAAATGATACACATATCATTTTTTTTTTCATGTTCAGCTTTTACTTCGAATTTTCAATTCAAACCACCTCAAAACTTCACCAAATCATCCCAAAACTGAGATTCAAGCTCTTTAAGTTGTGCCCGATCTATTCTAATAACACCCACTCAAAACAAAGCAAAAATTTGATATCTTTTTACTATAAATAGTTAATTAGCTAATATTAGTAATATTTTATTAATTTGCCAATTTTTATAATGAGCTACTTGTAAATGGCCGGTAATTTCCCTACTATTTTTCATAAATGAATACCCAACTCTTTCCGCTGTACCAACCGCCCCGTTTTCTCACTACGTACTTCACACCGCAAACTACGCCAAGCAAGTAACTAACGACAAAAGAAAGATCTTTCTAAGAAATTAAAAAAAAAAAAAATCGAAAAATAAATATAAGGAAAAGAAAGAAAAAGAGGGGAGGATTTTTTTAAAGAAAATATTGCAATTTCAATGCTCTGAAAATCTCCTCAAAAAGAAGACATGCATGTCACGAACTGAGTTTTCTAGCAGCAGTTGTTGACTCTCATCAGGTGAGTTTAACTTTTTCTAGGAATTTATTGATCCTTTGATGTGCAAACGCATATTCAGGAATTTCTCCAAAATATTGCAATTAATTCCCAGAAATGTGTGTTCTTGTTTTAAGTTTTGATTAGTTATTGTTGATGGAAAATGAAAGTTTTCTCTTTTCCATGCAGAGAAGAACCATTAATTAGTGAATGATAATTCGCATTTTACAGGAGCGAAGTCCCATCTTGAAGTGAGTTTCTTTCCTTCTCTGTTTGCAGTTACATTTCCATATAACACATTCCTTCTAAATTCTAATGCATTAGTTATATGGCGTCACACCCTAGGAGTGTAGTGAGATGATTGTGATCCCTCCAGGGACGGAAGTAGATCATAACTTCTAGGTTCTTTCGAACCAACAGCTTTGGCTCAGACCCTGTAAATCAATTAAGGGATCTACTAAACAAATACAATTATATAATTTTAAACCAAGGAAATCAAATGGGATGTGGTAGAATTTGAGATTCGAACTCATAATATTCATTTCCTAGATCCGTCTCTGGTCATCCTTTACCAAATGTCTTGAGTTCTAACCCTTACAAATGGAGATTCTCTTTGTAGAAAGCACTTTACCCTTAGTGGGCCTATCCGGTGCGACTACGAATTAGTCCCCCGGTGGGTTTCAAACACCGGATGCCTATACTAGTAAAGACGAATTATGGCATCATTCAACCTTAATATCCTTAATGATTATGCAAGAAGAGAAGAAATGCACTTAAGAAAATGGAATTCAAGTAGACAATTGTTGGTTAGAATTGAATGTATGAGGAATCATTGCTTATTTCCCTTACCAGCTGATTAGATTCCTATCTTTCTAATCTAGGGTTGCATATCACTTGGGTAAGTTTAACGTAGGTGGTTAACGAATTCTTTAAGATTTAAGAGAGGTGATCCAGAAGCGGACCCAATATTTTAACCCAATGGGGGCACAATATTCTACTCAACCAGTGCTCCTAAAGGGTTTTAGTTCATGGTGCCAAGTGATTTAAATTAACCATTTTAAGGTATACACATATACATATACAAGATTTTTGCCAAAGTTTATGGGGTCAGGTGACCCCATAACACATAGGTCCGCCTCTGAGGTGATCACAACATTTAATAACAAATGTTGTCAGTTTTTTCCCTTGCACTCTTAAGCTAGTGAACACCGTGAACATTTTTGAATAGCTATTCAGCCCATTTCGTCAAAAGATAAACAAGGCGGGTTCTATCATAAGTCGTTCCCGACTCAAAAAAAGCGCAACACCAATAAATTCATGAGAGATTATTTGTAAAACAACTAACTTACACCCGAGATTTTTGGCTATTATCAATGAAGGTAATATAGAATATATTTTTGAAGAATTGATTTGAGTTATTAACTTGGAACGTCTTATTATTTGCGCAAAGCAGTAATTGTGTGCACCTGCAAAGAACTCAAATGTGGCAACTGTATGATAATACGATATGATGGCATTGCTGCAATTGATATTGATCAGGAAGGAAATCCTTTTCACTTATGCTCTATATTAACTTTGCCTCCATTAAAGGAGTCGCTTTTGGTTTGTGTCCATTATAGGAATTTGTGTTATGCGTATCAAAAACTTTATCTTTCTGCATATTTATAATGGTCTCTGAATGCATGAAAATATCTTGAAGGGAATAAAATTTGTCCTTCATCACATCTAATGAAGTGATACTGGCTATACAGATGGGATCATCAGAGGGAAGAGCAGTACTTCAGCTTGAGGATGAGGACCTTGTCAGATCTGAGCATTTTGATAGAAAGACATCTTCTTCGGGCGCCGCTCCTCAAGGATCTTCTTATGATGTTGAGGAAGATGATGACAGTCCTAAAAGTATATTGAATAGCATACGAAAAAATATTCAGATTGTTTTTTTCTCCAACAAGTTAAACATACTTGTACCTTGTGGACCTTTAGCCATAGTTGTCAATGAGTTAACTGATCATCACGTGAGTTTTCAAACTGTTTTCAGACCACAAAAATTTTATGATCTTTATACGAGCTCATGTGACATTGTATTTCAGGGATGGATCTTCATACTTAGCTTGTTAGGCATCATTCCCCTCGCAGAGCGTTTAGGTTGGGCCACAGAGTAATTTTCTACAACCAATGCCTACAAGATGTTGCATGAGCAAATCAATAAGGATCAGAGGGAACTAAATGTATAATTGTCAAATGCATGCCAGCATTTCTTGACATGTTGAGCCTCAGGCTTAGTTTTAAACTGTGAAATGGAAGTTCTTTTGAGCTAGGCAACATTTAAACTTATATATGTCCATCTTTTGATGTCTACATAATTTAAAAAGACAATAGCTTTCTGATCCTTTCGCTGTTAAAATGTCAACATTGGACATTGTATTTGGAACATAAGCTGAAGGCTACTGACTTGTTTTTCTCTACAAACATCTAATACTGTTATACATTTTCCAAGAAGTAACTAATTTGTGTTTGGTTTCATTCTTTGTATAGGCAGCTGGCTTTTTATACTGGACCTACAGGTAGTCTTGTCTTTACTAGTCGATATGCATGTATGTTTTGTGTAACTAATTCATGGTCGTTTTGTCTCTTTATGTTTATAATTCTATCAGAGTTGCATAAAAGGAAACAGCAAACATCACTCATCTCCATTTTTGTTTTAGTATATGATGTATAAGAACGTGATGTTTTTGTGTCATCCATTGCTTTTCACCTATTAATTGTCTTTCGGCATTATCTATGTAATGTGTGCCTAGGAGAGCATGTCCCAACAATATCTGTATTTCGAGGATTCATCATGAATTAGATAACTACTTTTATGCTGGCCGCCATCCTACTGCAACCCCCCTCCTTTATCTGGGCTTGAGAGCTGAGACGAGCAATGTGAGCAAGCTCTCACAGGCAGCGTTTCTTGCATTCAGTTAATACTCCACATAATCTCAGGATCTATTGACCTGTCTCCTGTACCAAGTGATTACATACCCTTCATCTACTATCTAAGTAGCACTATTTCAAGTAGCTGTCTTCACCAACTATTTGACTTAAAGCATTAGCTTCCTGCAAAATTACCAGTATCTTCTTTTCTGCTCCTAGTTAAAACAAAATGTGCAGCCAATATATTTCATTTTAAATTTTCTAAAGCTACTATCTTAATGTTGCCTTCTGAACATCGTTACTTAAATAACCTGATAATTTTGGATTTCTTAGATATAGATCTGCTGTACATGTTGCATATGTTTTCTAACTTGTAGTATTAAGTATACTGTTTCTAGCAAACTTTCCCATGGTTTTTGTAGTTGCACAGCATTTAGCCAATATCATCTCGATTAATTCTCCGTTAAAACTTTCGCAGTTGGAGGACTTTTAAATGCAACCTTTGGAAATGCAACAGAGTTAATAATTTCAATGTATGCTCTGAAAAGTGGCATGATTCGTGTGGTGCAGCAATCACTATTGGGCTCCATTCTGTCCAATACTTTACTAGTGCTTGGATGTGCATTTTTTGGTGGTGGCATTATTCATTCTAATAAGGAGCAGGTTTTCAACAAGGTAATAGTTTTTTTACTCTCCATATATATGTGCTTTGTGTACACCAAAATCAATAATAGTTTTGTTCAAGTTGCGTCATGATCAATGGATAACACTAGGATAATTGGATCTTTTCCAAATTCTCTTTGTTAGGGAACTGCAGTGATGAATTCAGGGTTGCTTTTAATGGCAGTTATGTGCTTGCTGTTCCCTGCTGTCCTCCACGTTACACACACTGAAGTGCATTTTGGGAAGTCAGTGTTGGCGCTTTCCAGATTTAGCAGCTGCATTATGCTTGTAGCATATGGGGCATATCTATTTTTTCAGCTGACAAACCAAAAGAATCTTTACATGCCAATGGCTGAGGTTGGGGTTCTTTTTTTTTATAAATGGTGCTATCTTACATACATAAATTGTTGTTATGCGTTAATCCTTTCTTTTTGTATGGTTCTACTAAGTTCATCTCTGATTAGAAAAATTAAAAATCCTATCTCCGTTATATTCCTCCTTTTGCGTCCATTCTTACTTCATGAGTTTGCTCCAAATTTTCCTCTGAGTATAGTACAATTTCAGGAAGAGGATCAGATTGATGGGAGTTCAGATAATGAAGAAGCTCCCGAGATATCAAAATGGGGCTCAATCCTATGGCTCTCTGTTATGACACTATGGATAGCAGTCTTGTCAGAGTACCTAGTCAATACCATAGAGGTAAGTTCATCCTAAAAAACTACTGGCTACTGCTATAGATTTGTATGATTGAAATGATCCAGGTATTACTTTATCATAACTCACAACAAAGAAAAAGTCCTTTTCCAAAATATCTATCAGTAAAATAAAAGAAAAACTGTGTGCCGAACCTCCTCTACTTTTCACTTCAGTATGTTACATAGGAAAATGTGACCTTTTTTCCCTTTCCCTTTTGGTTCTTTGAGTCCCTCATCCAATAAAGATGACAATTTTTTCAGGGGGCGTCTGTTGCAATGGATATTCCTGTAGCATTTATAAGTGTGATACTGCTCCCGATTGTTGGAAACGCCGCTGAGCATGCTGGAGCTGTCATGTTTGCTGTCAAAGACAAGCTTGTACTTTCTTCAACTTTCTTCATTGTAAAGCTAACGATTTACAATCACCATCCCTCATTTACTAATTAGTGGCTGTGCAGGACATATCTTTGGGAGTGGCAATAGGCTCATCAACACAGATAGCCATGTTTGGGGTAGGTACTTTATTTAAAGAGTTCCTGTATCGTGATTTGCACCAATGAGAAACTTTAGGCAGTAAGTTATTTCTGATCTATGTAATCAAGGTATATGTATCTCCATAGCTTTGCAGTTACTTTACACCTCGCTTTTTTTTCAATTTTTTATTTCAAGAAATACAAAACTTTTGTTGCTTCCTGGATTACCCCCTTTTATTATCAAGTAAACACATTTTTAACTCCCAATTTTGAGCCATGTCAACTGCCAAGTGAAAAAGGAAAAAAAGGATAATTTATGCTTGTTTTCATCTGTTCTTTTGGTGCAGATCCCATTCTCTGTTGTAGTTGGATGGATAATAGGGTGTCCTATGAACTTGGACTTCCAAATGTTTGAAACAGCCACACTTCTAATGACTGTTCTTGTTGTAGCATTCATGCTGCAGGTACGCTATCACTCTACATATTTTACTAATTTTTCCCTTTCTGGCCTAAGATGAGTTTATATGGAAGTACATGGTCATTGAAAATTCATATAGCCGACCTCAACGTGTTTGGGACTGAGGCTCAGTTGTTATCGTTGGGCATTCATCTTCTATTTAGAAATGCTGGTGGAGAATTTAATATTTAGCGTTGTTCCGCGCAAATTGCTTCACGACTAAATGTCTAGAGTGGCCATATCTTATCTTGTTAAAGAATGGTTAATTGGTTAACATTGTCGCAAGTCTTGCTATGGCCTGGCTATACTTGAGCACAATGGTTGGAATTTACATTTATCTTGTCCTATATGTTCCATCCTTGCAGTAAAACGATATCCTTTCTTTACAGGACGGAAATTCTAATTACTTTAAAGGGCTGATGCTCCTTCTCTGCTATCTTATAGTTGCTGCAAGTTTCTTTGTACATATAGATCCAGAGTCTATACGTAAGTTTCCCTCTCTCTCTTTGTGCAATTATATTATATGGTAGCACTGCTAATCTAATATGCATTGCTTTCTTGTTTAGTGAAAGCAAAGCCAAACACACACGCGCGCACACACAGCAGTAGGTGTGCTCGCACCGGCTATACCTCATTTCATTCGAACCCACTAGGTTTAACTCAAATCTTGTATGTGTGTTACAAAACGATGAAATTCGTACAAATAAGGATTTCAAACCAAATAAATCAAATGGAATATGGTAGAATTAAACTCGAATGTCCCATAAGTTAAATTCTGGATCCAATGTGTTGTAACTGATTTTGCAGAGGACAAGCCCAGAAAACATAATGGCTAAAAGAGTGATTTCATGCTAAAGCTGAAGTGCCTACGAAGAGTTGCATGAGATGAAGAGCCAACCATTTTGGAAACATTAAGCAGTGATTTTGATAAGAATTCAACTGCTGCTATAGCTCAAGGTTGATTAGTTTTTCCTCCATTTGTTTAGTAGAGTAGTATCTTGCATTTTTGATAGTGTAGGCAAAATGTAAGTTCATTTTTTTCCCATTGCTAAAAATAGGATGTATATTTTTATTTATCCTGGAGCAGAGTTATAATTGTGAGCCTCTGCAAACAAATATTATGCATGCTGTGCCAAAGGAAATATTGTGTTTAATATTAATACATGTTTTCACCTACTAAAATCACTTAACCATGGTTATTACTTATTAGTTACAATCTGGTGTAAGCAGTCTTTTGCGAATAAGTGCATAAATTTAATATTCAAGAAGGATATATTCAATATTGGTTTCGAAGTGCATAAATAGCTAACAGGGAGACTGTAGATACTGAAATAACAAGTAATGATTTTTTATAAATATTATGGTCAAAAACTGAGTGTATGACGTAAATAAATATCCATAATTTCTCTAATCTTGCTAAACTGTATCTAAATATCTAATCTAGGAAATCATACTATATGCTAGATAACTAAGTAAAAAAAGAAACTATGAACTAATTAATTGGAGAAATTATATATCATCCATGATAAGTCTTGGCTAGTCTTGACACTAATCTTGTGAAACTGTTTGAACATTTACTTTTGCAGGGTGACCGCCAAACTCCTCAAATATAACCAAATTGTTGTCACTCTTACGCAAGAAAGATCTTGGTACATGATACCTATCAAAAAAAAGTGACAAAAAATTTATAACATTAAATTATAATAAGGTTAATATATTGTTTAACCAAAATATTAGGTTAAAATTAGAAGTATATAACGTACCAGCGTTGAGTAGGTTGTCCACAATTAGTTGCACATTTCTCAGGATGATAATTACCACGATAATCACATGAATTACTACAGCCATTCTCTTTCTCAAAATCATAAGAAGTAAGCCAATATCGACCTATATTATTTCCATTTACCCAAGCTGTACCTTTCCCTAATCCCATCATATCCAACACAACAGGATCATCACCAGATGGAGTCTTGAATGTTGTCTGCCCAAAAAAATAAAATACAAATTAATAAAAAAAATAAACAAGACTCTAAAAAAATTTCCATAATTTTCCACAGCCTACTTAGTAGGCGTTTGGATATAAAATTTGTAATTTTTGAAAAAAAGTAGTAGTATTTAGAGTTAAGTTGAAAATGATATTCAGAATTTAAAATTACATGTGAACATGCATTTCACTTGAAAAAATATTTATTTTTGAAAATTTTCCAAAAACTTACAAAATTTTATGGACAAACATATTTTTGAGAAAAAAACTCGAAAAGAAAGAAAAAATTTCTTATGGACAAGCGGGTCCTCATAATAGATGCACAGGGGCGGAGCTATAAGGGGCGCGGAAGGGGTTCGCCAGAAAATATATATCAAATTTTTTATACTTATATAATAGATATTGAATCCTTTTAGTGAAACCGTCACTGTAACATATACCTTATAAAATAGTAATAAAAATAATAGTACCTTATACCATACAAACATTCTGTTTGTTTGGAGAGTTTGAGCTGGTTTCCAGTTTCTATGCATGTAATCTTCATCTTCCCAAAGCCTTCTTTCAAGTCCTTCTAAACCAATCTTGTATTCCCATTGGTTATTTGTTAAATCTTTTACAACACCACTCGGTGATTTCAACACAACTGGACCAAGAATTCCATTCTTGACCTTGTCAAAATAGGCTCCATAATTCTAAGACAAATAAAAAAAATTATTGTTAAAAAAGAATAAAGGTAAAATAAATTAATAAATATTATCTATATAAAAAGTGAAAAATTAGAAAATTAATACTTACAGGAAATCCAACAGTGACACTAAGGAGAGATAATGTGTTCTTTCCAGGTTTGATCTTCAAAAGTTGCTGAAAGTCAAAACTATACTTTCCATCTTTCGCCCATTTAGTCCCTAAAATATAATAGAAATTTAAATAAAATTAAACCAAACCATAATAAAATAAACTTACATATTAAAACAATAATTATTTAAAATATACATACCAATATGCTTGCCATTGAAAAATGCATAAAGAACATGTGCATCAGTATGAACTTCAAGAACAGCTTCACCACCATAAAGTGGATCAGATTCTTTAATATCCACACTACAAAAATACAATTAAATTAGTCGGACCAGTGATTAAATTAGAAAATAAAAATAAAGACAAACGTAGAAATTATCAAAGAAAGAAAAAGAGAAAAATATTACCTTGTCATGTACCATAAGTAGTCACTAGTATCATTTGCCACAACTTTTTGGTCAAGGAGTTGATTGGCATATAAAACACCTTTCTTTTTAATGTTAATAAAAGAAGGCTTAAGATGTGAAGGTTTCTCAGCTCTCCAACTCCAATCTAAGCCATTAGGGTTATCACCATTGTTTGGTTTTCTCACCATGACCTTTTTTGGAGCATTAACCTACGAAAAAAATTAGAACAATTAATACCGCTCATCCAACCACTTAAACTAAAAATAGTCGGCAGATATATAATATATATGTAGAATCTATGTATAATATGTATGTATTCGTGTGTAATAAGTGTACAAACTCTGTGTACCAGCTAAGAAAAGTAAACAATGAATACTATAAAGATCCCATTATATATTTTTGTAAAATTTAAAGTATAAAAGCAAGAATTATATGACATACCTTTGCTGTATTGTATTTGACATTGACACAATCAGGAAGAATACTAACTGACCAAGCAGGAACAGTGTAGTTTTTGCCTTCAAAATTGAATATCCGATCATTTTTGTCATTTGCATTGGCTAAGAAACATACCCTTGAACCTTGGTATTCATACATAGTACTCTGGACAAGACCATATTAAAAAAATAATTCATAAATTATTACCGAATAAATTTTAAGAATATATATAAAAGACGAAAATAAAACGAAAAATGTATATGTATGTATACTGACCGTATACTGCCAATCATCATCACCATAAGCTTTTTGTGTTGCATTGCCATATGTGAGAAGTTTCTCAACTGATTTAAGTATTTCATGAAGCTCCTTGAGATGTCCATATTTAGGTTGGTTTAATTGTCCTAAAATATTTTGAGCAATAATTAGAATTACCCCATTAAATAGTCATGCATTATAATCAAAAAGTTAAATTTATGAAAAAATATTTTTCAACTATAATTATTACCATATTCATTAAGGGGTGCATCATAGTCATAAGTTGTAGTAATATAAGGTCCTCCAGCTACACGGCCAAAGTTAGTTCCACCATGATACTACAAAGAAAAAAAAATTAAAATAATTAATTTTTATGATAGACAAAGCAAAGAATCAAGCCAAAAAAAAAAAAATCAACATGAATTATTTACTAACCATATAATAATTCTGCAATGTGCCACCTTTTTGGAAAAAACGAGCAACAGCAAATGCAACATCTTCAGCAGTTCTATGAGGATCTCTACCATTATTCCAGTCTTTAAACCTTGTTTAAACCAAAAAAAAAAAAAAAGTAATCACATATTTAATAATCAATAATTTTTATTTAAAAGAAAAAACCATGTGTATATTAAATTAAATTTTATAAATTAATTTAACTTACCAGCCAGTCCAATTCTCTGTCCACATCTTGGGAATTTTGCGTTTAGGATAAAAGTTATCAGCATAATAACCATTTGCTGTATTGATCTGCAATTTTCAAAATAATAAAAGGCGAAATTATTAAGCAATAATATAAAACAATCGAGTTGAATAGAATAACCCTGTGTATAGAGTCGCGCATTTAGTAAGGAGTTATTCTCGAATGCAGGATTTTCCGATGCAAATCCGCGATTTAGTGGGTTCCAATATATGTACGAGTGGAAAATAAAAAAAAAATTAAATATAAAAATAAAAAAAATAAAAACACTAACCATGGGGTCTGGAGCATCATCTTGTTGACACATGATCCAAGGGACACCAATATTAAGAGACTCAGCAAATTTTGCACACTCTTGAACATATATTTTCCCATCATTTCCATATTCAGATTCAACTTTCCAATTGCCATATTCGTTCTCAATCTAATTTATTGGAATTAACAAACCAAAAAAAGGAAAAGAAATTGGGAATTTCACTTCAAATATCACGAATTAATATATTTTATTTTTTAAAACTAATAAAAGAGACATAAAACAAACCTGAGAGAGGATAATTGGTCCACCTTGAGAAGCAAAAAGCTTTTCTTTTTTCATCATGTCAACAATCTTGCTGACAAAAGTCTTCATCTCATACTATAAATCAAATTAAAAGAAAAAGTAAGTATTCGGTTTGAGAAAATTAAAGTTATTTTAATTTTGAATTAAATGTAAACTAGGTCAGAAAGCCAAAAATAATACTTACCATAAACGGAGGATTGTTGGTCCTAACAGTCATATTTTGTTTGTTGTTTAACCAAACTGGAAACCCTCTGGAAGAAAAAAACAAAATAAATAAAAGAACATTAAAAATGAAAAAAAAAATTAAAATATCAAATCACATGATTAAATAGAATAATTACCCGTAATTCCATTCAGCACAGACGTATGGACCAATTCTCAATATGGCATAAAGCCCTTCATTTTGTATTAATTTCATAAACTTCACAAGATCCAAGTTTCCCGAGAAATCATACTAATTATTTTTAAAAAATATAAACAAAATCAATTAGACAGAATAAAGAAAATCATTATCTAAAAAAGTTGGCTGATTAAATATGATAAATACAAACCTGACGATATACAGGCTCATGAGCATTCCAAAAAACATAGGTCTCAACTGCATCAAGACCACCCTCCTTAGCTTTCTTGATCAAAGATGGCCACATCTAAAAAATATCAAAAACATTTAAAATTAAAGTTCGCCTTTTAAATTTTGCTTTTTGTTTCACTACCATCGTCTGAAAAAAAAAATCGTTACGTTTTATTAAAAAAAACATGTAACATGCCTCAATTGATTTGAGATTGAGGTATCACACATAGTTGATTGATTGAAAACGTTAGCATAACAAAATAACATTATATGGTACAAATATTTTCGACTTTTTGATAAAAAAGAATAACAAATATTTGATGTACCTCTGCAGTGCTACGAGGATAATGAATAGAACCAGATAATATAATTTTTCTTTCGCCATTAATTTTTAAAGCTCGATCATCATACGTGACTTCAGTAGCAAAAGAAATCAAGCAAGAAGCGAAAAGAACTACAGAAAGTAGTAAAATATTTGTGTATGTAGCCATGGCTGCACCTAAAGTTGAAACTAACGTAGAAAAAATTATTAGAAGTGACCTCTATTTATAATACATAGTAGTAGAGCAATTAGAGACCTAGTTGAAAACTTTATTTTATATTCTATCTGTTATTTAATGTGAATTTATTGTGTTTTATTCAAGCTCTAGTTGTTAATTTCTATAGAAGTCTAGTTTAGCGCCAACTTTCTTCCATCATTCTCTATCTCTTTTTATTCTAATTGGGTAATTCTTGTAATTTTTTGGCTATTTTATTTTGTAGATTTTGTTTTATTAATCTTATCGTGTGAAGCATACTA